AGAGTTGAAGTTTTTAAAATCTAAGTTACTAGTGTAGAAAGGTGGACACTATCGCTAAAAGATTGAAGGATTTCATCACTTAGGTCTTTATAGTGCTATATTCTGGAATACAGCAATAAGCAAAGAAAGATCATAGTTTTAAAAACTGTATTTCCATAGAGGAAGAGAATATAAAAATTTATAGCAGGTAAAAGAAATACTAAAAAAAAAAAAAAAAGAAAAGAAAAAAAGAAAAAGAAAGAAAGAAAATACTGTGTCAGAGTGGAACAAGTACATTTTGTTGGTCCCAGCCCAATCCTGAATTCTGAGCTTCAGATACGTATAGCAAAATGCCCAGGTACCTTGCATTCCTGGAGGTACTCAACATGACCAAACTCGGTGTGTCCTCTGTCAGCTCTTCTCTGCCACCACCACTGAGTTGCTCAAACCAGAACTATGTGAGTCATCCTTGAGTCCTTTTCAACCCTCAATCCCCACATCCCATCTGTCACAAGGGTTAGCTAGTTCTCCCATACCACTGCAGTCACTTCTCTTCACTGTCACCGTGCTAATTCAGAACATCATCTCTCCCTTGGAGTCTTGCGTTTGCTTGCTGACAGATCCCCCACAGACATAACCGCCTTCCTCTGCGATGACTGAAACTCTCGTATCACACTTCTGCTTCAACCCATCCATAGTCCCCAGTGCCCCTGTGCAGCTCTTCCCCCTGCATTAATAGGTTCTCATAATCACGGCTCGTCTTTCATTCTTTATACCCATAATAGTTGCAGATCTAAAATGCCTGGAATGCTGCTTTCTCAATGCTGCTGTCAGGGTAACTGATCTTTCACATTCCAACTGAACCATGATTTCTTCAGGCCAGTTTTACCTACATGATCAGACTGAGTTTCCTGCACCAGCTATGGATTCCAACTTCTCCTGTGTTGTTAAATTCATATGTTACATGTGCACTTCATTCTCTCATAGCTTTCCCCCACATAGAATACAAATTCTGAGAAGACAAGGATGATGTCTGCCTTTTCAGTATGTCATCTCTAGTGCTTGTCAAACAGTGGCAGAGAGGAGGTGCTCACTACATATACGTATGACAAAATGAATGAGCATTATACAAGACACCCATGGCAGATGGTTGATAACTGTTTTTCCTTTGCATTTATATTCTACATAATCAGAGATGACTTTGAAGCATGATCACCTAAGAGTACTTATACTTTGTCTATTCATCGTACATTGGGGATCTTGGAGAATATTCTCCAGCAACTGACATTTCTCCAAGATGACACATGATTGTTCCAATTTTTCATCTTTGTAGGCTTATCAGCAAAATTTTCTTGAGAGTTGTCCAGAGGTGATTTGGCTATACAATGCAAACCCATTTTAGGTGTAACTCCATTTCAGATTTTTTTACCCAGAAGGAATATAAGGTACAGTTACTAGTAAGAGATATTCTTGAGATGTGACTGCATAAAGCCAATATTCTTTCATCTTTTTTCATTTTAATTGCTGTTTGGGTTTTTAAGAATTCTCCTTTCAACTTTGCTTTGATTGTTTAAAAATACATGCTTCTTTATTCTCAGCCAACTCTAAAATAATTATACCAAATTCACATTAATTTGGTCTTTATAAATGAATGCCACTGAATCTTACTTACTTTCCTAGCCATTCATGGTGACTTATTTACTTCAAAGATGGCTAATATTGTGAGGAATCTCCAAATTGATTTCCACAGTGGTTTCGTCAATCTACACTCCCACCAGCAGGGGAGTAGGGTTCCTTTTCTGGTAGTCTGGACAACTGATTTGAAGGTAACAATATGCAATGGAATTACAGTGAATTCAATGGTCAACTGCTACCATCTTGTCTAGCGAAACTCTGTATTATCTCTATGGTGTTATCGAAGAATTATTTTCTTATTCCCTGTAATGATTTGAGCAATCTTTCATTCTTACATCTGCTAACCTGAGCAGTGTAGTTGAGCATAGTGATATGTAATGTAACAGCTGATTCGTATTATTTTGTCTTGAGATTCTGTATCACTTTGAATGTTCTTCTTTGATTTGTTTATGTTTGTGATACTGGTATGCTGCTACTGTTCTATTTCTTTTTTTCTCATTTACTACTTTCTTTAAAATAAAAAAAAAGATGGCTAATATTTATTAATCACACACCAAAAATAAGCATACTTATATCATTCAACAACAATGGAGTGGAGAAGTACTATCTTTTGGTACTTCTCCCAAAACGGAAGTGGATATTTATAGCAGTTAAATGACTCGCCCAAGTTAAAAGCTTACCAAGTATTTGAGCTGGACTTTGAATGCAAGGGTTTACTTTCAGTTCCTTTGTGCTTTTAATTTGTCCTATGATATTTTACTCGCTGAGATGTAAGGTATTTTCGCATAATTCTGCCTTCCTCGCTCCTAATTTTCTTTGCATAGTAGGTCTGCAGTATATACTCCAATACTCACTGGGTCTTTGCTGTGATTTTAGATAAAGTGAGAGTATTTGTGATCTGATGAGTTTACTGTATTTTGTTCAGTCAACCCAAAGTGAAATGAGCCTAAACAGAAGAGGCTGATAGTGCCGAAGGGAAAGCATGGGTAACTAACAGAGGGAAAACCCCGATTAGAGATATTTCCTAGGCGTAAAGAACTCTTCTAGATCTTCATCATTTGTGTACTTGAGACTCTACTTTGTGGATTCTCTGGGTGCACTTTTGATCATTAATCGCCTCCCTTTCACTGTAGTCAGCTTGTGTAAAGGATTCCCCTTGTGTCGAAGAGTAGAGAAAAAGGGAAGAAACGGAGTAATTTTCTCTGGCCACAGGTGTGTAATTGTCAAGCCCTGTGAGTGCTGATAGTGTAGACAGACAGGACACCCCTGTCCCCTGCGTGTTTATATTTGGGTGGGTTCCTGCAAAAGCCAAGCCTGGAAGAGCGCCACGCTGTAGCTGTAGAGGTGCACTGTGCTTCTGGGGGCTGTTTACCTGTCTGTATAACCTGGAATCTTCCTTAGGCAAAGCACACAACTGCCTGCTCATCTTCCAATCTAGGAAGCGGTCGGGTTGGATTCCCACCTTCGCAACCCTCCTGCCTCCACACTGCCCTAGGAATCATCTCCCTAAAATGCCCCCAAGGGCTCCCCTGACCAAAGTGGGGAAGGCGAGAGGTTATGAGGAGGCATGCGGGTCAGGAGCGCAGCCCCCGGTGCTGCAGAGACCGCCGGGCTGAGCGCCAAGCCAGACCTGACCCACGGCCCCTCCTCGCGCGGAGAGCGCGGGACCAGCCCGGTGCGGTCCGCGCGCGGCTCCGCTCACAGCCGGGGGCGCGCGGAGGCGGGCGGCAGCGGGGAGCTGGCCGCGGTCGGTGACTCTCGGAGTCGCGGTGGTCCAGGCTAGCGGTTAGGAGCGCTGCCTTTCGAGTGAAGTCCGGGTGTCTCCTCTCTCCACCTGAGTGACCTTGAGCACGTCCCCCAGCTTCCCTACGCCAGTTTCTAGACCCACAAAATTGGGACACTGAAGGGATTGCTCACAGCAAGGGCCGTTGTAAGAATTAAAGGCTGCATCGCCCGGGGAGGTGGTGTGAGCTCTCGGTTACGGGGACAGTGCCTGGGAACCGCAGGGGGAGGCCGGGATGGGAGACTGACGGGCTCTTCCTGCGCTTCCCCGGGGCGCGGGGTGAGAGAGCGGGAACGCTCTTCCCCTCCGCCCTTTCAGAAATCTACCAGGAGGCTGAGCGCAGCCCCGGGGGTCTCCGGCTGCCCCCGACCGCCCCGCCCGAGCCCTCGGCGGAGGAGGAATCGTTCCCTTTGTGATTCGAGTCTCTCCTCTTTTCCTGTGCTCACCCCACGCCGCCGCCTTCCACACCCGGTTGCCCGCGAGGAGCCGGCCTCGGGCAGGAGCGCAGGGCCAGCCTCGGGGCGCGCGGGGCTCCCCCACCCGGCTCGGACGGGAGCGAGGAGGAGGCGGCCCGAAGCCCCCGGAGATCGGGGGCCAGTCGCGGGGCCCAGTCT